CAGTTTAAAATATCAGGAAACTGTACAAAAATGCATAGAATCGTATGGAAAAACCATCATGTCAAAAAAGTAAACAAAATTTTATCACAAAGACTACTGAGGAGAACTTACTATTTTGAGTTGTACGTAAAAATATACGTAAAAACAATTGAAAGAACTCATAAAAAGTGTTAGCAAGAAATATACTTACTACAAGTAGACACTTGGTCAATTGTTAAGCATTAAATCCATGTTCTGTTTAGTGCTTTACATTAAAGTCATCACAAATGATTTGAGTCAGTGAAATCAATAGTAAGCAAGAATTAATTAGCAATTATCAATTAAGAGATAATATCTTAACCATCCGTCAGATTTAATGCTTCGTTTAGGTAAGTATAGGTTCATGAGAAACATTTATTTCAACTTCCAAGCCAAAAAATTGCAAGATATTTGCATACATTTGTAAGGCATAATCTTTGAAAACAAAATACACTTCCGTACAACACTGCAAACACATCCCTATCCAGTTGTTCTGATATGTCCAAATCAGATCAACATAACTTTTTAAATATTTATTAGTCCAAACCATTTCATGGCAATTATTTAGAATTTCTTTTCCACTTTCAACTATTTCTGGAAAATACTTTTCATATAAGCTCATAATTTCTATTTCAATTAGTCGTGTGCTTGATATCAATGATGACAAGACAGAATGATAGAGCCCAATCACAAAACATGTTACTAGTTCAGCTTCATCATATAGTCGAGCTAGAAAACTCTTCGTTCCATTCTGACAGTTTACTGCTTGACTTAAACCTAAGGAAAGCCAAGAATCAATGGCTTGAACACAACTGCATAAAGCTGATGGTTCCACTTCAATTCGATGCAGGTCATCATACAGCACTTTGCCAATCAGACAACTTGAAAGGATAAAAAATAAGGCCAAGAAAAATTTTATCGCCCCAACAACAATATGCCTGAAAATTAATAATAATCACAAATTTACATAATTATAGACTGTGATGTGAAAGTTGAGGCATAATTCAACTTAAGGCTTAAAATCTATCAAATCATATAATTCTTTGGCACACATAGAACTGCAATATATTTTCTTGAACGTTGGCACAGAAAGGTTCAATCAATGGATCCTGTGATCAACTAGGAAAAATATGAAAAACTGAACTAAAATGTGATTTAACAGAATGGCGATGGAAACCGCAATCAGAAAACTAAAAACAATTAATAGATACATAAACAAAAATCGAGACAATTCATTATGTGAAGTAATCACATAATGGTTCTCAGCAGTTTCTTTGCCAATAAGTCTTATTCCAACTTCTTTTCCTTTCTTATGTATTTTTTCGGTTAAATTAATTGCAGTTATCAACTAAAGATTGTATAATTCTCTTTTCAGATTACTCAGAATTTCAGTAATCACTCAGAAGTAAATTGAGTTACACCTGAAACTCCCATATTGAAACTCATTCTCAAATCATAAATATATTACTTATGCAACTTAATCATATACACTGATTTCACGACTACCAAGCAACATACTTCAATTTTTCCCAAATTCGGAGAACGCATTGCGTTCTCCGATCAGTTTTCTCAAGCACATCTGTACAAAAATCGGATGTAGCCACTTCTGTATTGGCTGTTTGTTCCAATGTTTGCTGAACTGTTGAGTCATGACACGAAACGTTTTCAAAGATTTTATAATCCTAAAAAATTAATTGTGATCAAATCTGGAGTTTTTTCAAGTACATAAACCGAGAAAAAAAGTGTAATTCACATTTTTGAAAGAGGTGAATTGACAAAATACGTCACAATGATTATCATGTATCTTCATATCAATAGTTTATACCCTCCTTATTTTCAAATAATTTTTAAATAATCATACTTCTAAGTTCCTCAACTCTTTCAGATACGCTCAAGCAATTTACAACGTGAAAGAACAAATGACTCTTATCTGTTTCAAAGAATAAATTGAGAAACATCGAGATGAATCTATCATTAACAAATTTTAAAAAGTGATCTGATCTAAATATTATGCAATAATTAGTACTATAAAGGTAAGACAATCTTTAACAAACTATTAGCATAAAGCACTTAATTATTTTGGTCAAAGGAGAATTTTAAAAAATATGTACTTGTATTGCACAGACAAAAGTATTGACAAAAAATCAAACAGACGGAGAAATACTTCAAATCAGAATTGAAAACTACTTGTTAACATCTCAAATCAAATCAACATTCAAACCTTCGCACTTGTCGAACTTGTTGTTCTAGAACTACTGCTGTAATCAGATGAAGACGTGGCGGTGGTAGCTGAATCGTGTAATGCAGCGTTATCTAGACAGCTGATTACCACAGGTACTGCTTTGGCACCAGTAGCATCTGCAACCGGAATTGTACTCTCAGAATCGCTACTGTATTCACTTTCGGTTTCCACATATGATACTTCCACACCGAATGGCCCATCTTCCTCTGCGGACATCTCTGGAGTTACGGTAAACGGTGCTTCCGCAGATAAATAGTGGCTGCTTGATGATTTCTAAATAATAGACAAGGAGCTGAAGACAATAAACTAATAAATGAAACATATTTTATGGCAAGTTCGATTAACTTTACAAAACTTCCATGATTTTGTTGCTTTTTTCCAAATTTAATGATTAAAATTAAGAAATTTACATATTCTATATCAAATCCACCTCCACTAAAACTTATACGTCATTATCAATCACCAATTTTTATAATAATCAATTCAGTACAAAAAACTAGTAAACTTCTGCATTATATGACAATACAAATTTTATTAACTCACTCAAATTACTTTTGGAAATAAATTTTATTAAATTAAAATAACAAAAATGTACAGATAATAAGAAGTTAATTAATCGAAAAATGCATACTTTGTTTTTGCCGGATATTTTTGATAAAAAACTTGATAGTCGTAATGAATTGTGATTAATTTTCGATGATTTCAATTTGGTATTTTTGGCATGTAAACTGAGATTTGAGTCATTTTTATGAGTCACAACGTTGCCTCCTTTGGCCATCGAAGTAGATTCAAGCTGGAAGAGCAAATCTGAAAATTACTCTTCCATTTCATAATTACAAAGTCAGCTTAAAAAAATTTGGCACGGAGCTCAGAATCAATTTCAATTATGAGCTTGAATTTCAAAATTAAAAATAATATTACATTATTATTATTTGAACTGCTAAATATTTTTAATATAAATCATCAAAAAGTGGTTGAAAACCAAATTGAGTACATGTTGGCACGCAATAATTGTATTCAGAGTTATGAAAAATAATTTATAGAAACGAAAAGTTTAGTACAATACACCATATGAAGTAAGTTTAATACTGTAGTTCATATTAGCTCCATACGATTAAGACATAAATATTTGAGAGTGAGTGATATGTAATCCATTCACAGATATGAATGCAACAAAGTTTGCATATATTATTGCCAATAATATGGTCCCTTCTTGTATCCTTACTGATCAAAATCTGATTTCTTGTCACTTCAGAGATCTCAATTTTTTGGTTCATTTCACATTTCGGTTCATTTTTACATTTCCTTGTATGTAAATGTATGCACAATCTGACAGCATAAATAATCACTGTTATTTTGTACAAATTTTTTAAAATAATAATTATTATTCCGCATGAATTTTTAAAAATAATGATTATTTTGTATAAATTTTGAATTTTCTTTTCTTCTTCAATGTGTAAACAAAATTCGATAGTTTATATATACATGAACACATTAAATTATTTATTAAATTTACTCATATATTCATTGCCATTCAACACAACTTTCATCACTTTGTCTTCTCCCTACATAGTAACAATTCATACTTATTTCTCACAATTAAATATAACTAATCGTAAGAGTTTGAATGCTTCACTTCGTTACCCCTCATTATCAGTGATAATTTTATTCATACGAATTCAAAGACTATTTGTGTTTTACTATCAGTTATAATTATTTCTGTTTATCTTATCATATTGAACATTGCATACTGATTTCTATTTCATTTTATCCTTATAACTAGATATTGAAGAATGAAAGATTCTAAAGCTATTACTATGATATTTAATTTGCTTAAAAAGTACTTAGCGGTAAAGGCTGTGGAAGTTGAAATAGTTCTGCGAATAGCATATTTAAATGATATACTCTCCTACTCACTGCCAAAGTAATTAATTAATTGATGATACACGTGGAAATCAATGATAAATCCTTATATCACCATTAATACTATTCTAAATTACGATCACTAATAATATAAATACTTAATAGAGTAATCACTTTTTAATTACTTTAACTGTATAAATAGTTAAGTTTTGATATTATTATTCAATTAATTATAGTTACGATAAGCTATTATTGTGCAGTTGAGCGGTTTCACTATCTCTGTAAATGATAGCAACAACGATAATGATTGTTAGAATTAAAATAAAATTCTTACGACTGGATATGTTGGATTGTGCGAAGTGAAGATTACACGAAGAATGCATTTTATTAGTGGTATTTAGAGAGAAAATAAAATAGTCAAAAGGTAGTTGCTAAATTTCTACTTATTTTCAGTTATTTTTTGTTCTGCAGCAAGATTATTTGTAATATTTATTATAAGTAATTAGCAGTAACAACAACAACAACAACCATGAATTCAACGATGACTAAAGCATAGTAAGTATTGAGTAATTATTGTTTGATTTTTGTTAGGACTACTTAATTACAGCGTAATACATTAATTAATTAGAAAAGTACATAGAAGATGTGTAAGAACCGTGCTCGTTTTTAAAATGTGTCGGACAAGGTCACGCGATCAGAGGTAAACATTATGACTAAGTACGACGTTTCCATCAAATTATACTACAATTGAGAGAAATTCAATAATCGAAAATTTGCCCTTTTCTCTCTGCTTTCTCCTCTTCATATTATGCAAATTAGTAGCCAGCAAAGAATGTTAGGATTTTCTGATCAATATTGAATTGATGCATTTATTTGAACTACCAACCGCAACTGGTAGCAAAGCTGACCACTTAGTATCAACGAAAGAAAGCATTTGCGTCAGAACTATTGACGAAGGCATTCGGAATTGTGAAAATTATAGCAAATAATTTAGTTACAGACAAAAAGACACTGATAAAAAGTCTTAGAAAGTGAAAATCTAGATTATCAAATTCTTCAATCAAAAAGTTGATTAGTTTTGTTTGATTTGATTAAAACTGCTCATTAAAAACGGGAAAAAAAGGAATTTAGAAACAATTTGTGAAGCAAATTAACGGAAAAGTTTTAGAGAGAATATGGAAGAAAGAACTGAAAATATGCAAGAAAAAGTTTACGAACTTGAAAGAATTAATTAATGCAAAACAAAAGTTGAAAGTTGGAGTGAGGAAAAAGCGATTGCTATGGCCAGGTTTCAGAGATAAAGCTTGAGAAAATACACAGGACAAGTTCAGTAAGCGAGTAGAACGCAATGAGATTACACTAAAAAGCATCAAATGAATGAATAAAGGACAAAAATTAAGTAATGGACAGAAATAGGAAAATGTGAGACTTTGAAAAAATTTGAAGGAATTCCAAAAAAACAATTTGATCTACGTAGGAAAAGATGTCAAGAAATGTGTCAAGGGAAGTGCAAAGTAAAAGCTAAAAAAGTTGAAAGTATGAGAAAAATAAGGGCGAACGAGAGAAAGTAACTGGACCAGACCAGTGGCACGTGAAACACTAAAACAGAAAATACATTAAATTAGGAATGAGGAAGACTTGCGTGTAAAAAAATTAATGCTGAAGTGAAAAGATATACAAATACTGGTAATGATACTGTTTTTAAATATATACAATACTGTAATGATATTGTTTTTACGTTAATCACATTGCTAAAAGAAATACAAAGATAAATAAATATACCTAAGATGCAAGAACAGATGGTACTGGCGGACGTGTTTGATTCACTTCTTCGTAAACGTTGCTTTTTTCTTCTTTTGTGCCACAATTTTGGCACTTGTTGTTGATGAGCTTGCCAGGCCATAGTAAACGATCAAAGTGTATTAGTGCCACTAATACAATGAGAGCAAACAGGCAACCTGCCAGGGCAAATGAGGAAGAAAAGTGCTGCTAGCGTTATGCACTGCGAACTACGCAATCTTTACGCGCAAAGCTTTTTTCTTCAGAAGTAAGAATAAATGAACTGGCCAACACTCCCCGATCAGTAACGATCAGTTAGACGTGAATATGCAAACCTTTTTGTATTTATATACTTTGCTTCATTTTCATCTTTTAAACTCCAATTCATATTGTGATGTACTTCTTGCTATCACTCATTTTCTTACTAACGCTTCTTGCATTCACAAAAAATGCAAAAAGTTCGATAAACGCTTCAATACGTGATCGATTGATTGGTTAATTGACTGACTGACTGACTGAAAAAGAAGGAAACTGAAAACGATTCATATGTTATTTGTGATTTGTCGGACTTAAAAATTTAAACTTATTACTATTACTTAACCCGTATGGAGCTTTATTTGAAAGCTTGCTTAACCACTTGTAGATTAAGTAGAGCTAATCTTGTTAATAATTACTATGATAATTATATAAATTTACTTACTAAAAAATGACTATTTGATGCTAAATTTTTGTGTAATCTAAGCTCATCAATCATTAGAAATTATGAAATGACATATATATTAGTAAATCTGTTTGATTGATTCACGTAGGATAATTATTGATGCTCGTCGAGAAATGAAATTAACAGATAAATAAATCATCACAAACTGGTTTTAACAGTTAGCAAATTTAGTGGTACATGAAATTGGTCTTCAAAAGTATGCAGTGAACTTTCAAGTACATTAAAACTGATCGAGACTTTATTGGAAGACTGATTTGATTGACTAATTTTAATTTGCTCACAGCTTTGGGAATTCAATCTTATAATTTGTTTCATTAGTAGAGTTTCATTACGAGCAAGTATATTTCATGCCTATATGAGCAGTTAGCAATCTGATAATTCAAAAATTCTTTACTTGTACTATTTGCATATTTAGCTATTGTTTTAATGCTATAAATTTATCAGTTTGTAAATATTTTAATTTCAGAGTAGTGTGAATGCCAATTGTTGGGTCAGAGTACTGCACTATTTCGAGTTTCAGTAGTGATTAGCGTAGATTTACTGAATACTTTTAGTCTGCTCAGTCGTTCAAATACTTAACTGCCATTTCCATTACCTTTTAGCGAATCAGACGTTTTTTTGTCTGTTAAATCGCATTCAACAGTGCTCATAACTACTTGCTACCACAACTGTTACAACTGCTAGGATGAAATAGAAATTACCCGAAAAAGAGAAAATGCCAAAACATCATCATCATATTTGATAGATGTGTTCATGAAATTTGATAAAAGCAAGTTTCTCATTCTATAGAAATTAGTGTAGCTTCAAGTACAATAAAAAATACGATTTAAGAAATGAGAATTCTTCATGCTGATTAAATATTCAAAAATTTACCATATATCGATTTTCTTAGCAAAAAAAGTGTCAGTTAATTTGTACGACGTATTTCATACCTAATAAAATAAATTTTGAACATTTTGAAGCTTTATTCAGTTAATTATTCAATGAACTTAAAATCAACTTTTATCAATTTTTCAAGTTATCAAATTGGTACGCAATAAAAGTGAAAGGAAAGGTTAGAACGAGGCAAACAAATGTTTGAGTACAAACGAAGCAGTCTGTTGATAGTTGGAAATTCCAAATCATATGCACTAAAAACAAATTATTAACGACACACGCAGGGCACTGCAAACGTGAATGTAGTAAGGTTTCAAACTATTAAGACAGCCGTAGGAAGAAGGGCGGTTCGCTTTTAACGATTTTAAACAAATACGTAATCATATTTAGCCAGTTTATTCCATTAATGAATAATATGTTCTGATTTGCATTGCAGTCAATTTTCAACAACAATAACTTATTACTAGTAGTTGAATAATAAATAAGTGTTAAAAGTAATTATTTTAAGTAAACTTTTTGCTTGTATTATCTATAAATTTAGAAGTTATATGAAAAACAATAATCAAATGAAGGAATTACTTGCTTTATTGATATGACATTATAGCTCATATTTGGTAAATGCTTATGAATGAACTGTGCATCTCTTTTAATCTAACATAAATAAAACACATTTTATACAAGATTATTTCTTTGGCTCATACTAGAAAAACCAAGTTTACAGTTCGATGCTACTTGCTTTTGAAGGCTGAAGTTTTGTAAAATATTGGAAAACGAGAATTGAAAATCACATTAAAAATGTGAAAAAAAAAGCAAGTTTTGAGATGGAATTGTTAAGAATTCTCGGAAAGTTACTGAGAGTGAATAAATCAATCCTTTGTAATGAGAAAACAGTCATCATTCCACTGCCGAAGCAAAAAAATAGATTCTGTAGTCTAGAGAATTTTACTTCTAAGAATATTTCAGTCAAAACTCACTATTTTTGCTGACGAAAAAGGAAAGCTAGTAGCATAATCAGATTACAAATGTAAACTTTAGTAAAAGTTTATAGTATTTTCCGAGTTTTAAAGGTATTGCTATCAAGATAATGATGAGAAAAAATTAGATTAGATAGATTTATCACTAAATTAAGATGTGATTTCAGCGCTATGATTTGGAGATTTCTGATAGCTTTCTTTCACATTGTTAGAAAATTGAACTCAATGTTTTTTTATTTTCCTTATAAATCGGTGAATTATTTTTGTTCAAAGTTCAAATCATATTTAGAATGACCAGCACGTTAATAATCACTTCAACTGTTAGTGTTATATGTGAATGTTGATAGCATCTATACACACATATTCAGTCCTTGCAATTATTGTGTGACATAAGAAGCTTAAATCTTTATTCGACTTTCATCCTTACCAAAAACAGTGAGGAAAAGAGAAATAATTTTCGTAATAAGGGTCAGAAATGGTTTAATAGCCAGGAGCCAATCGAGCAGGTGGACAGTGATCACAACGTCCTCTCGGTCCTTCATCACCCTGATCACCAGGAGCTCCAGGTTGACCTGCTTGACCTGGTTGGCCAGGCTGTCCTGGTGGACCAGTAATGCCAGGTGTTCCTGGTTCTCCGTTCGCACCAGCTAGAAAGTAAAACGTCAAATTTTCAATAATAGCTATCAAAAGTTTTGTTCTAACAATTTTTGTGAAAAATATCTATTATAATTATCTTTCTTTAAAATTATACATGTTCAAATTGTTCGCCTATCAAATAAATCGAAAACATACGAGGTCCTGGTGGTCCACGAGGTCCAGCGTTTCCGGGTCTTCCGGGTGGTCCAGGAGGTCCTGGTGGCCCTTCAACTCCTGGATTCTGACGTCCAGGTTGACCGGGAGCTCCTTTCATACCAGGGTTACCATTTCGCCCAGGCAATCCTGGTGGTCCTTGTGGTCCTTGTTCACCTGGTCCGCCGTCAACTCCAGGAGCACCCATATCTCCCGGCAGTCCTTGAGGACCTCGAGGTCCTTGGCTGCCGGGGGGACCAGCTGGAGCTTCACACGGACACTGCTCGGGAAAACGTTGAGACCATTCGGGTGGTGCTTGTGCTGGAAGTCCCGGTGGTCCAATATCCCCAGTAATACCATCGATGCCATCAGGGCCTGTCAATTGATTTTAGTCCCTTTTGATTTTCATACTCGTAAACTTTTTTTCGAAATAAATTAAATTTAGGTTACCTATTGATTTCAGCTACATCCAACCAAAATTTGGTTCGAACAATGAACAATTTTGCATAAAATGTCCTTGAACTCTCGAAAAATAACCTATTGCTTCTCATAATTCACACTTTCAATAAGTAACATAAATTGATAGGAAACTATGTGCGGAAAAAGACACATTAAAAGGTAACAATTCTTAAGCTAAAAAATTATTCCATCTGTTTCTAGCCATTAAAAAATTTCTTGCATGACTTTTTGACTCACTCGTTGAAATTTGATACTTTTAAATCATTCTCGTTATCTTACCATCAGGTCCCGGTTCTCCAGGAGGTCCTGGTGGTCCACGTTGACATGTGCAACACATGCCACTTTGACGTCGTGCTCGACCCTCTTCTTTAGCGTTAGTTTTCAAACCTTTTAACACTTCTGCTGCACGAGCAACTCGCAGCGTTGTTGAATGATCTCCGCCAGTTTTCATGGCTAGTAGCTCTTTCCACATATCTCGTGCACGTACCTACATATACTTCAACAATAACTATTATAAAATTAGTTTCAAATTTGCCATGCAACTTTGCTGGTTTTTTCTCTTTTCATTGATCAAAATTGTATGATGAACGTCAAATAATTTGGTAGCTGTGCATTCGATTTATATTTTAACTATCAAACGGTCAAGGGTCAAGAGAGCAAAGTAGATCTTACCTTGCAAAGGTCAACTTCGGTTTGTACTTGACTTTCTAGTGATTGAATGTAAGTAAATACAAGAGGAAATGAAATCATGCATGATGTTATTGCTCCTGTAGCGAGTACAATAGCTAAGAAGGCATTTGCTCTCATAGAATGAGGACGTAACTTTTCGTCCATTTCTGTCAATCACAACCTAAATTTCCTTGTACCTATCATTAATTAACTCCTGGACCACCTGGAAGACCCGGATCATAAATACTCTCTGTCATGAAGCTCAATTGCCATCAAAAACTACTTATAAGGGTAGAAAATGAAAAAAGAATACAAAATTATTAAGTAATTATTTTGTGATCACAACAGAAATTCTTGTGATCACAAAATAATTACTCAATAGTTTTGTAGAAGAACTGCCAATGAATTTTAGTATCAGCCATCTATTTGTCATTAATTTCAAAGAAATCTCGTACTTGCAAGCATCAAATACAATACGTACTTTTCAAAAAAGCACTTATAATTACTTAATTCAATATGATTTTGAGGTAACTTTAAGGAAAGTAAAATGATTATATGTTGATTATTAGTCTGCTCAAAAATTACTTATAAAGATAGAAAATACAGAAAGAATACAAAATTATTAGGTAATTATTTTGTGATCACAACGAAAATTATCGATATTAGCCATCTATTTGTAAAGTTTTGGCTGACCGAACCGCCAATGAATCTAGACAATAATTTGAAATATTCAGTGCTTCCAAGATTTTGTTTATCACTTTTACTTGTAATTGATAGTCTTTTCTCATTTGAATGAAATACTCTCTTTTTTTCTAGTTTAACTAATAATTATTTATGAATTGCGAAAAATTTTGCTCAGTTTTGTTATTTACTAAAAAGAGACAATATTTTTAAGAGACAAATTGGTGTAAAATTACAAGAAGAAAATTTATGAACAAATTAGATAAACAATAACAATGCAATATGTATTGTCGCATACTTCTTCACTACTGATTTACGCAAAATTAATCAAAATTTGAACTAAATTTAGTCTAAACTGAAATTTGGCTTCAACTACATCGTAAAGAAACATAATAGCAATCCGACCAGAATAAAGTACAATGAATATTTGAAGTAAACGGACAGTGTTTTCAAGAAATTAATTGGTTCTGTTGATGTAAGTGAATGCACACAAGTAGACGACTTTTCTAATTGCTATTTATATGAGCTAACCAAGGCAAGGTGAAAGGTAACGGTTACGCTACCGCGTCCAATTCTTCATCGAATATCGATGATAGAAACCAGTTCGAGAATCACCAAAATCATGATATTACTGCTCAGATCAATTTCTTATTGCTTTTTATGTTTTAAAATTGATCGTATGACTGAACCAATGCATTAAAAATCTCAGATATCACAATGTTACAAATAAATTTATCAAAAATGTGAAAAGCTGAAATACTTTCAAATTTTGAGAGTATTTCGGGCTTTTTTTGAAGCTTACTAAGATATTTAGCAAAAATTTTTAGTTTAGTTTAAGACACGTGCAAATATTTCACTATGATAAAAATTTTGAAAGTATGTCTTTTTTATAAAGAAGGAAAAATTTACATATCTGTGTTAATAAATTTTTTCAACAAGGATTATTAGTTGCAGAGAAATGA